GTTGGAAGACGTTCAACATTCGTGTTCGATCGAGGGAAATGTCGGTGGTATTCTTGTCATGGGGACGACTCCAACGGGAACGAGTCGGATTCGAGGGCGAATCCTGCTCAACCGAGGGAGAATGATGCAGAATAATAATAATAATAATATTATTATTATTATTATTATTATTATTATTATTATTATTATTATTATTATTATTATTAGCATTTAATATTTATTTATATTTATATTTAGTGACTTGGTGGACAAGATAGATATTAGGGTTAGGATGTCTTATTTAAAGACCTCTCTTATTTGTATTCAGCAGTTGATTTTGAATATGAATGAAAATAATTGATCGTGTTTGGGAGAGTATCCCGTGTTCTGGAGAGAGTATCTCCTTGTATCTTTTATCTTCCCGTTCGTTCACGCTTTCGCTACATCACCATCCCTCCTTGTCCTCTTTCTTCGACCGTCTCGACCATCTTCGCCATCTCTCTCCTCGTCTCTATCACTCCTTTCCTCCGAGTCTTCCCTAAACCTTCTCCTCCCTTTCCCTTTCACCCTATCATGATACACGAATTCTTTCAAATATCCCGCTCGAATCAACCTCTCGATCTCATCTTTCAAATGTCTACAGTTCTTCGTGGTGTGACCATAATCTCGGTGAAAGCGACAGTAAATATCCGACTCGGCCAAGTCACATCCTCACTCGACATCTTCTGCTCCATGGCCTCGAGGACCTCTGTCATGTCTTTTCTCAGGGGCGTGAAGGTGTGGTATCTCTGCCTCTCGAACAACATCGGCCTCCTCTGCCATTCATCTCTCTTCTCCCTCTTCGAATCTCGACTCTCTCTTCGGGGTGATGCCCTCTTCTGCCCACTCCGTTTGGGCGAATTCCTCCTCGGCGATCTCCCCCTTTGTGGGCTTTTCTCCTTTTTTGGTTCTGGTCGAGCCACTCCTTCCAGCTTTGCGAACTCCATCTCCATTTTCTCCAAATTAATGTACTTCCCGCACCGCTTCAGAACATCCTCATATGATCGAGGAGAGGTCTTTGCCAGGGAAGTTCGGCAAGGCCCTGCTCGAAGACTCCTTATCAATCCTCCCGCCTTCACCTCGTCCGAAGCCGAGTGCACCTCTAAACAAGTCTGATTATATCGAGCAACATACTTCCTCAATGACTCCTTCTCCCCCTGCCTCATCGCCATCAGAGTCAAATATGTTTTCTCCTGCACCACCGCGCTCGAATATTGATTGATAAGCTTGTCGGTAAAGTCCTCAAAACTCGCAATCGACCCAGTGGGTAATTGATGAAACCAATCAAGTGCTCCTCCACGCAGGGTCGATAGAAATGCCCTGCAACAAACAATATCAGAATATCCATGCAACACAGCCATATTTTCAAAGGTCCTCACATGTCTCGATGGGTCAGACAACCCATCATACACCAAGTTGGTCTCCTTGAAATTATTTGGCAAAGGAGCAGTGAGAATCTCCCTTGAAAAGGGATGTCCTCGAGCTCTCCTCTCTGGCCACCCCTCCACCTTATCCTGCAACTGGCACAATTGCTCCGCTATCCTCTTCATTGCCCGATCTCTTCCTGCTCCTCCTTCTCCATAACTGGACACATCCTCATCTTGACTCCCGGCCACCGTGGTCGGCGCAGTGGTGGCATGGGATGTATGACTCGTGACCTGCTGCACCACCTGCGCCGTCGCAGCCGCCGCTATCCTCTGCATCTCCTCTCGGGTCATCGCCACCATTTGCTGGCCGGGGGTTTGTACAGCTGCCTGTGGTGGTACTCCTCCTTGCGCCATCGCTCCTCCTTGCCTTTGCGTTAGATCTGGTGGCGGTGGCGGTGGCATCACCGCCGTTGCTGCTGCGTGAGCTTCCAGGGCCCGACTGGAGCCGGCATCTCCTCCGGGAATCACCGTCGTCGCTCCCACACCTTGAAGGATAGGTGCGAGAGTGATCGGAGTCTGGGATGGGCCGGAAAAACCCGGAGGATGGCCGTGCCCCAACGGCCTGGTCGTCGTCCAAGCCTCGTCAAACATTGACTGCAAGGTTTTAAGCATTTCGTCCGCCATAGCTGAGCTTCAAACACAACTTTTTAAACAAAGAATCCCCGCAGACGGCGCCAATAATGCAAGTGTGAGCGTCTTGGTCCGGTTTGGGATAGATCGATTCTTGTCCTCGCCGATAGAACGCCGTAGACCTACAAATAACTCTCACACCGGGGGTTGTGTCCGGTGAAGAGCCTCTGATGCTTAAGTCAGTATGTGTATGAGTATACCGAAGTGAAGAAGTGAATAGAATGTGTTAAGGGAGAAAGACTCACCCCCTTTATATAAGGGTGAGATACCTGCCCTAATAGTTGCCCGGATAAGGTGAGTTGGCTGCCCAAGCTGCCCGTCCGTACTCTGACACGCCGCGCACATGTCAGAGGTGGTGCAAGGCGTTGGGAGCTGTCAGAGATGGTTATCGCTATCACCCACTACATTCTCGACATGTGTCCTCCTGCACATAGGGTAAATATTCTCCTGAGGTTCAGTTAGAGGCTCTTACGCGCGCCCGCGATACACGCACCCATGACTAGGTCGATTATTGATTCCTCGAAGTGATCGACCTGTTGAGGTCGAATAGGTTGCCCGATCATGTATCTGGTCGAGCGACGGGTTGCTCGATCGTCTTTCGGGTCATGCGATGGACTGGTCGACTACCTGCTTGGTCGACTGTCTGAATGATCGATCCTCCCGCTACTTGTCTTGGTTTCCTCTTAGTTTGACCCTCTCGACTGGCTGAGCAGACCGGTTTAGCCTTGTGTATATAATATCCCATATCAATGTAGATCCTCCAAATTCACTCTTTCCATTATTTGTTAGTGAATTTACTTTTTAAGATGGCTCTCATCTTTTCGTCCTCTGTCATAGGCCTTCGAACTTCGGTGAGTTTACCCTTTTGGTGTAATAGGGGTACTGTACCGAAGGTTACTTTTCTTCGTCCTCCAGAAGATCTGGGTCTATCTTCTTGAGTTTTAACTCGCTTTTGAATGTCAATAAGGATTTCTAATGTATCATTTTGACTCTTCATTAGCTCTTCAATTTTGGTTAGCGTCTGCTGAACCTTGTTTGGTACAAACAATTGCTTTTCACCTTAGCTTTGTACCGTCTTTTGTAATTCGCGAATATCTTCAGAAAATTTAGATGAGTCTGGAATAACTTCTTTCCAGGTTAAACTATTATAGCTCATTGATGACTGTGATTTTGATGAGCTATTTCTTGATGATTTAATAAATCTGTTTGTAACAATTGGTTTACCCAGAGGGCATCCATATGATACTTCTTTTATTTTTGGCAAAGTTTTGTTGTAATTCTATTAACTCCTGCCATAACTTGTTCACTATAGCGGTCATCCCAATGGGAAACCATTTGTTGGTGTTCTTGTTCACACATCTTCAAAATTTGAAGATATCTTAGATAATGTATACATTGTGGACAATTTTTTATATCCATTCTTTTATAATTCTCCTCATCAAAATTCAATTACCATGTAATAAATTCTTCTAGGAGTTCTTAATAAAACCTAGGCTCTGATATCATTTTATGTGTGGTGGTACTAAGGGAATAAAGTCAGGTACAATATAGAAAGACATTTGGTACTCCATGTAAATTTATAACACAAGATACTATTTTGAAAGCCCTTGGTACTATACTAAATGAAAACTGATACTTTTCTTTTAAAAAACAGATATCGGGACAGAAATGTAATTTAAACCTTAGAGGAGACATAAAGTTGTTGCTAGGGAATTGAATGAAAAAAATTTTCACTAGGAACTAAATGAGAAGATAAATTTAAGATTGAAGATTTATCTATACATCTCCCTATATTTTTTTTAACAAGTGACACAAAAATCAGAAAACACATTAGATATGGACACGTGCCCACCGATTCCACATTCTACTTATCACAAATGGATTTCACATTTCTTCCAATACACTCGTCTGCTCAGCAATGGCGTCCAACTCACTACCACACTCTCTCTCCCCTGCTTCCCTCTCCACTCTGAAAACATCCCTCTCTGCTTCCAATACCAATTCCACAACCCTTGCGTTTGCATCCCCACGGCTCCAGCTCCAAACCCTAAATCTATCTCGAAATCTCAAACCCTTCCCTTCCCACTTTACCGCTTCAGCCGCCGCCCACGAGCGGCGGTCGCTTAAGTCCCGCCTCAAAAACGGCGAGACCCTCTACGGCATCTTCCTTCTCAGCTTCTCCCCGACCATAGCCGAGATCGCGGGCCTCGCCGGGTACGACTTCGCCGTGGTCGACATGGAGCACGGCCACGGTGGGATCCGCGATGCCCTCCCCTGCCTCCAGGCCCTGGCGGCTGCGGGAGCCGCTGCCGTGATCCGCCTCCCCGAGTCCTCCGCCGCCTGGGCCAAGAAGGCCCTGGATCTGGGCCCGCAGGGGATCATGTTCCCCATGATAGAAAGCCCGAAGTCGGCCCGGAAGGCGGTGTCGTTTTGCCATTTCCCGCCCAAGGGTGTACGCGGGTCGGCCCACACACTGGTCCGGGCGTCAGGGTACGGGCTGGACGAGGGGTACCTGAGCAGGTACGAGGAGGAGCTGGTGGTGATGTGCCAGGTAGAGTCAGAGGAGGGGGTGCGCAAGGCAGAGGAGATCTCGAAAGTGGAGGGCGTGGACTGCGTGCAAATGGGTCCGTTGGATCTGAGTGCGAGCATGGGGTACCTGTGGGACCCAGGACACAAGAAGGTTAGGGAGGCCTTGCGGGGAGCGGAGAAGGCTGTTCTCAAGGGGGGAGCATACCTTTCGGGGTTTGTGATGCCACACGATGGGGCAAGGGAGCTGACGCGGAGGGGGTACCATATGGTGGCGGGGGCCGCTGATGTGGGGCTATTCAGAAGTGCGGCAGTGGAGGACATCAGGATGTTCAGAGCCAGTATGGAGAAGGAGAAGGAGAATGATGAGATCTTTCCTGCTGAGGAGGAGAAATACTGGAGTGAGTAACTGATTGATGTTTTTTTTAAAAAAAAATTCTGAATTCCATGCTTCTATTCTCCTTGTGTCTGGTGTTGATGTTTTACGTTTCACAATTGCCATAATACTGTACAGTGAGGTTTGTTTGGGCTATCGAAACAGTCAGGATTAGCTATATGTCTATGTGCTAGTTTGCCTTAAGAAGGTTGAACATTTGACCCTTTTTTTTTTCAATCATCATACCGGCTGTGTTTCTGTTTTGATAAGAGACTGCTTTGTCCAATCCTGCAAGGAGAAGACCCAACGTCTGAATAAACAAAGTAAGGGGGCTGGTAAATGGCCAAAGGCCTCTCAGTTAGCCAATATATGTTTAGGAAGTACAAATTTGAAACAAGAACAAAACCAAGATTGTGTTCCTCTCTTTCTATCTTCTTCCACTGCATAGATACTCAGCAATAATATGCAACATGGGATGGAATGGAAGATAACCCGAGCCAAGATCTTGTCGAATGATATTTGTTTTTTTTCAACTAATTTAAAATTGTATACTTTATAGTGATTGGCAGTTGATAGAATCGAAAATTTGTAGAGTTAAGAGTTAGCGAAACATAATTCACGACTCCGACAAATTTGGCTCATTGGGGCTGGGATGCAGATCATAGCACACTGTAACACCTCACCCGTTTGGTTTTTGCTGGTTATTTAACTACCCAATATCGTGTACTTACTTGCGTGGTCATAAGGCTGTAAATTGAACACAAGCAGGCTTCCCAATGCATGGCATTGCTGCTCATTGACTCGAATGTGTGTCGAGAAGGAGTAAGGGTTGTATTCTATTGTTTTATAAAACGAGAATTTTCTTCTTCATGCTATTCTTTGTTTCCAGTTCTTACTCTCCCCACTCATTGTAATAAATTTTCCTCTTATTAATTCTATTTTGTCAGATATGGACGGACCATATTAATTTGTACATATGTAGGTAGATTCTCTTCTTTGGTGGTGTCTTGGTGGTGATGATGATGATAATGATGATGATTTAGGGTTAGATCATGTTTCTTCTTAATTTTTTGCATGAAATTAGTTTTGTTTTGTTTCTTACCTATTTCTGTGTTTTCAATTTACATTGTTTGTGTGAGATTTTGAAGAATGTTTCAATTTTATCGATCAAGTTATGGCCTAAGGTTTTATTTTCATATTTTCAAAATATTGAAACATGGTAGTTGATTCAGATCCATAATTTACCTGTTAGGTTCAATTTGGTGCAAACAGGATAGACCTTTGTTGTTTGGTTAATTTTTCTGTGATTAGTTGTTTGGTTAATTTTTCTGTAAGTGATTGAAAAACTTCCATTTGCACGACTTATCTCTTAAATAACCATACATGATACATCATTTAATCGTTTTATCCTGTGTGGTTGGAGATTTCCTTGTGATTTGAACTTGTTTATTAATCAAGACTGTCACGTCCTGATTGGGTTGATCAACACCGTGCATCAAACAGCCATTGCATGTTATCATCCAATTCTTCCCAAGTTGTTTGGTTGTTTCCTTCAACAATTGTATTAAACTACTCTCAACAATTGGTAACTTCTCTTCTGCTAGCAACCATCAATCTTTTGGTCAACTTCAATTGACTAACATATCAGCCATCTCCGACATAGAAAAACCAAAACATATGCACCAATAGTTTGCATGTATGTAAACATATGGAAGCAAGTGTTTCAGATTTAATAAAAAAGGCGTTACAATTTTTTTTGTCAAGAATGCTTTTGGAAGGACTCTCTTCCTTTTGTATTTTCATCTTTTTTCATGGATGTATTGAACTCTTAATTTGCTTGAGTGCAAAGTTTTTCATTTAAAAAAAATAAAAATAAAAAATAGTTGCACCAAGAGTCTGCAAATAATTTATGTGCATAAGGCTTTTGTATATTAACCATGGTTTTCAAAACCAAACCGGACCGGATCGACCGATTCAACTCCTTGGACCGAGAACAGGTCTTCATTTCAGTCCGGTTTGAAGAAAAAAACCAGCAGGACTAACAACCGTTTGTACCGGCCCAAAATCGGTTGAACTGATGAACCGGGACCGGTTTGAACGGTTTAATTGTTCTAGCTGTAGAATTTTTGAGGTGTTGATTGTGAGCTCATTTAAATAGTATACTTTTTTTTCACTTGTGTTTCCATTATGGAGTATATATTCACACACCATTGTTGAATTTTGGGGCCAACATTGGCCCTTACAAAAAAAATTGGGAAAATTACATACATAACAGCATGTCCATGAATACTAGTGCATAGCCCGTGCGATGCACGAGATACATTTAATAAATCAATCATTTCTATAGGACTTGTACTTTTAGGCGGAAAAAAAACGATAGACTTGGATCATCCATATTTCACATCTATTAATAAGTGATGTTTATTTTAGCCGGACAATTAACATATTAATTAATGCAGTATTTCGCAAATACGTTATACTAATATAAATTTGATTTTAGAATATATATTTTTTCATTGATATAAGAAAAAATAAAAATTTTATTTATTCATCTTCAACATATAATACTCAATTATTATTTTATTATAAAATTTACAGTCATATAATTTCATTATTATTATTTATAAAATTTATAGAAGTAGTCTTCTTCGTACTAATTTATGTAATGAAATTCAAAATAAAATTTTGTGTATAAATGTTTACAGAATACACACACATATTTTTTAGAATTCAATTTTCTCATAATAATTTTTTTAAGAAAATTGATTTAGCAATTGTCAAAAAATAAATCCCTTACATAATCAAGAGATTTTTTCTAATTTTCATCCTAAGGCTTTATAGTTTATTTTACATACTATGCAATAGAAAAATATTTTACAATTAGTTCATTTTTGAAACATAACAAAAAAAAAGTGATAAAAACACTATCATAGTTGACAATAATATACAAATGAATAACATGTCGAAATTTTAAAGAATAACTAATATAATTTTATTATCTAACCATCAATAAAATCGTTTAATGATGTGATCATAATCTTTTAAATGATAAATAATATTAATTTTTTAAAAAAATATTAGTTTTATATAATTAAATAAAGGTTAAAAAATATTACTCGACAAATATTAATTATAATAGGTATCAGGAAAATAATTGCATAAATTATTTAAGGAAAAAATCTTTAAGATCATATATGGATAATAAATGTAAATATGCAAGCATTTAATGCATATAGTAAAAAATTTCCAAATAAGGTTTGCATTAAATGTGTGTTGACTTTTCTTGGTACTACTTTTGGTAAATAGGTTGGCTTTTAATATATATACTAGTACAGAGCCCGTGCGATGAACGGGGTGCACAATTTTAAGGTTATTTTTTTTCAGCCTTATAATTATATAAATGAATAAAAAATGTACGGGACATATATAGTACGGGACCGGTGCGAGACACAGGATATATTTATTTAGGGAATATTATATTATACGATGCAATATTCAATAAAAGTTTTATAGTACGCAGGAAAATTATACAATAAAATAGTATCTGACAAAAAAAACCCATATATTATTAAAGACCTCATTGTACATAGATTTAAATAATTTTAGTAAAATAGTGTATAAGTTGATTACAATAACAAAACAACATGCTCACATGATTAGTAAAAATATTCCATGGATTGAAGATTTAATGGGATTAAACATTTAAATTAATTAACTTAGATAATTCAAAAGCCTTCCAACATTGTTTTGACTTTAATATATTACAACATGTGTATACTTTAAATATATTATATTTAAGGAACTTTAAACAGCATAATTTTTAAAAAAATTATTTTAGGGAGCTTTAAACAGCATATTTACGTCACCCATAAAACAGATTATATTTCAACATCATAGTTATAGTATTATATAAGGAACTTGAAACAACATTGTTAAATATTTACGTCCACCCATAAATTTTTTACAAGTCGAAGGTAATTAATCCTGTTTCTTTTTTATTTGTTTGTTTGTTCAATTATTTTTGACAAAACTGATATCATGGATAAAAAAATTTAATATTAAATAAATTAATGAAATAATATAAAATAATATGCTTTAGACAGATATAGGATGCTGATAATCCTCTCATACCAAACAACGCGATTTCAAAATTGACTCAGATCCAGCAATCCTATCCAATATTTCATATAAATAAATATTAAATAAAATGCTTTAAGTTTAAACAGAAATTAGATAAAAAATTTTGAATCTACCTTTTTTTAGTATAAATAGGCTTTACGTATATTTTTTGACTTCACCGATTATGGGATTTGTTTTGACTAAATCGATGTTATTATGGAATAAGACAAATAAATAAAGTCTTTTTTTTTATATTAGTAAAGATTTTACGTACTTTTTTTTGACTTATCGGATGTTATGGGATTTTTTTTTCTTAAGCCGGTTTTTATTTTAGTAAAATTTTTAAAGAATAACTAATATAATTTTATTACCTAACTATCAATAAAATCATTTAATGATGTGATTATTATCTTTTAAATGATAAATAATATTTTTTTTAAAAAAATATTAGTTTTATATAATTAAATAAAGGTTAAAAAATATTACTCGACAAATATTAATTATAATGGATATCAGTAAAATCATTGCATAAATTATTTAAGGAAAAAATCTTTAAGATCATATCTGGATAATAAATATAAATATGCAAGCATTTAATGCATATAGTAAAAAATTTCCAAATAAGGAATGCATTAAATGTGTGTTGACTTTTCTTGCTACTATTTTTGGTAAATATGTTGGCTTTTAATATATATATATATATAGATATAGATTTACATATTTGTAACCCCTGCAAAACATGAATCAAAGAGTATAAAGAAGTGATTTTAATCTTATTTGTACCAGATTTTGATTTCCCTCTCTCTCTCTCCCTCTCTCTCTCTCTCTCTCCATATATTAATCATGACTGAAATCTGTTTCGGTTGATTCTCTTTCCAAATCCGTTTCTCTCTCCAATTGCTTCTCTTTCAATA